CCTTAGGGTGTAGGGACAGGGATGGACTCTGCGCTCGGGGTGACGCTCCAGGGGCTGCGACATGCTGGGGACAGGAGGGGACACGGCCGTGAGGGGTGGGGACACACGCTGGGGACGGACACGGTGGGGACAGGGATGGACACAGTGGGGACAGGGATGGACACGGCGGTGAGGAGTGGGGACACGCTGGGGACAGGGGACACGGATGGACACTGCGCTCGGTATGACGCTCCAGGGGCTGCGACACGCTGGGGACAGGAGGGGACAATGTGCTGAGGAGTGGGGACACGCTGGGGACACGGGACAGGGATGGACACGCTGGGGACAGGGAGGGGACACGGCCGTGAGGGGTGGGGACACGGGACAGGGATGGACACGATGGGGACAGGGATGGACACGAAGATGAGGGGTGGGGACACGCTGGAGACAGGAGGGGACACGGCCGTGAGGGGTGGGGACAGGGATGGACACAGTAGGGACAGGGATAGACACAGTGGGGACAGGAGGGGACAATGTATTGAGGGGTGGGGACACGCTGGGGACACGGGACAGGGATGGACACGGTGGGGACAGGAGGGGACAATGTGCTGAGCAGTGGGGACACGCTGGGGACACGGGACAGGGATGGACACGGTGGGGACAGGAGGGACACGGCCCTGAGGGTGTGGGGACAGGGATGGATGGACAGCTGGGGACAGGAGGGGACACGCTGGGGACAGGGAGGGGACAATGTGCTGAGGGAAGGGGACACGGGACAGGGATGGACACGGTCCTAAAGGAAACGGCCCCGATCCCAAAGGGAAATGGCACCAGGGATAGCAGGGACACCCCGATCCCAAAGGATTTCATGGACACCCCAACCCCAAAGGAATTCCCCCCATGGATTTCAGGGATCTCCCAACCCCAAAGGAATCCCCTCACAGATTTCAGGGACACCCCAATCCCAAAGAATTTCACGGATCCCCAAATCCCAATCCCTGCCTGCCCGAATTCCCTCCACCCCAAATCCCTGGGATGTTTCGGGGACGTTTTTAGGGATATTCCAGTGACGTTTTGGGGACGTTTTTAGGGCATTCCAGGGGGGATTTGGGACAGGGCCACACCTGAGGGCAGCGATGGCGTCCTCGATGCTGCGCGCCTCCACAGCGCCCTCCTCAGGCAGCCGCCGGTTCAGGTTCTCCTCCAGGGGCAATTCCAGGTGGGATTTCTCCTTCTCTGCTGCTGGAAAAACGGGAATGCTGTCAGCAGGGGGGAATCCCTCGCGAAAACTCAATTTTCCCGCTAAAAAAATCTGAGTTTTCCTCGAAAAAATTCAATTTTTCCTCAAAAAAACCGCCACTTTTCCTCAAAAAAACCTCCACTTTTCCTTTAAAAAATCAGTTTTGCCACTGGAATGGGAAAGGTGGGATTGGGAATGGGAAATTTGGGATTGGAAATGAGAAAGGTGGGACTAGGAATGGGAAAGGTGGGATTGGAAAAGACGTGGACACCTGGAAAATCAAGAAGCAGGGGAACAGAAATCCTGGAATTTTTCCCCTTGGAAAAGAGTTTTGGGATCAAACCCAACACCAAACCCCATCCCCAAAGTGCCACATCCCGGATTTTCCAGGCCAATTCCAGCCAGTGGGAATTCCCAGCCATTCCCAAGCTTTCTCCTTGGCAAAAGCAGCAGCTCCCCAGCCCAGACAGAATTCCCAGGCAATTCCCAAACCTGCATCCGTGTTTTCCTTCTGCTGCTGCTCCTTCCTGACGTTCTCCTCGATCTGGGCCCGGGTGATTTTCCCGGGATTTCCCTGCTTGGGAGTTTTCCCTTTGAGTTTGGAATCCTCCTCCTCCAGGAGCCTCTGCAGCTCCTTCCGGCGCTCCAGCTGCTCCAGGCGCCGCTTCTCCCGCTCCTCCTGGGAATGACACACGGGTCCCATCAATTCCTGAACTTCCAGAGGGGACAAAACACTCCCAGGAATTTGGGAATTCCCTGGGATGTCACCTCTGCAGTGCCAGGACAATCCCAGGAAGGATTCAAGGATTGATGATGGATTCATGGAATCCATCTCATGGATGGACTCATGGATTCAAGGATGGATTCATGGAGGGATTCAGGGATGGATCCATGGATGGACTCTGGGATGGATCCATGAATTCATGGATGAATGGAGGGAGGGATCCATGGATGGACACATGGATTCATGGATGAATCCAGGGATGGAGCAGCTGGTGCCGCTTCTCCTGCTCCTCCTGGGAATGACACACAGATCCCGTCAATTCCTGCACTTCCAGAGGGGACAAAACACTCCCAGGAATTTGGGAATTCCCTGGGATGTCACCTCTGCAGTGCCAGGACAATCCCAGGAAGGATTCATGGATTCAGGGATGGACTCATAGATGTTCTTCCTCTCATTCCCAGTTTTCCCTCCTCTCCCTCATTCCCAGGGTTCCTCCTACCCCTCCCAAACTTCTCCCCCCCCTCACTCCCAGGATTTTGGGAATGCCCCACCTTCCTCTGCTCCTTCCTCAGGACGTGTTTGTCCTCGTCCTTCCAGAGCTCATCCTCCAGCTCCTGCTGCTCTTCCTCCTCTCCCTGATTCCCAAGGTTTTCCTCTCTCGTTCCCACAGTTTTCTCTCCTCTCATCCCTGGAGTTTTTCCTCCTCTCCCTCATTCCCAGGATCCTTTTTCCTCTCATTTCCAGGGTTCTTTCTTCTCTCATTCCCAGTTTTATCTCCTGTCATCCCCAGAGTTTTCTTTCCTCTCCCTCATCTCAAGTTTTCCCTCCTCTCATTCCCAGAGCTCTTCCTCTTCTCATTCCCAGAGCTTTTCCTCCTCTCCCTGATTCCTAAGGTTTTCTTCTCTCGTTCCCAGAGCTCTCTTCTCTCATCCTTGGAGTCTTCCCTCCTCTCCCTCATTCCCAGGATCCTTTTTCCTCTCCTTTCCAGGGTTGTTTCCTCTCTCATCCCCAGAGTTTTCCCTCCTCTCATCCCAGCCTTGTCCCTCCTACCCTTCCCAAACCTTTCCCCCCTCACTCCCAAACTTTTCCCCCTCCCTCACTCCCAGGATTTTGGGAATGCCCCACCTTCCTCTGCTCCTTCCTCAGGACGTGTTTGTCCTCGTCCTTCCAGAGCTCATCCTCCAGCTCCTGCTGCCGCCGCGCCTCCGCCGCCGCCTTGGCCTCGGCCCTGCGGGCGCGCGCCGCCGCCGACTTGCTGTTCTCCCCCTGGAATTTCTTGGGCATCCCTCAAATCCTCTGGAAAACAAGGAAAAAAAAAATTTTTTTTTTTTTTAATGGATCTGGATTTGGGGTTCTGTTGGTTTTGTTTTCATGGGGTAAGCTGGGGATGGCGTTTGAGGTCAGGCGGGTGCGGGCGCTTCACGCGGAGTTTGGGGATTCCAGACTTGTCCGAGGTTTCCTGGCCTGACTCCCTCTGGAATTCTCCAGCCCTTTCCCAGGAATTCTCCAGCCCCTTTCCTCTGGAATTCTCCAGCCCTTTCCCTCAGGAATTCTCCAGCCCCTTTCCCTCTGGAATTCTCCAGCCCTTTCCCTCAGGAATTCTCCAGCCCCTTCCTTCCCTCAGGAATTCTCCAGCCCCTTTCCCTCAGGAATTCTCCAGCCCCTTCCTTTCCTCAGGAATTCTCCAGCCCTTTCCCTCTGGAATTCTCCAGCCCTTTCCCTCAGGAATTCTCCAGCCCTTTCCCTCAGGAATTCTCCAGCCCCTTCCTTTCCTCAGGAATTCTCCAGCCCCTTCCTTCCCTCAGGAATTCTCCAGCCCCTTCCTTCCCTCAGGAATTCTCCAGCCCCTTTCCCAAAAATTCTCCAGCCCCTTTCCCAAAAATTCTCCAGCCCCTTTTCTCTGGAATTCTCCAGCCCTTTCCCTCAGGAATTCTCCAGCCCCTTCCCCCCAGAGTTTGGAATCTGCATCCTTGGAAGCCTCCAGGGATGGGGATTCCAAACTTTTCCAAGGTTTCCTTTCTCAGCTCCCTCAGGAATTCTCCAGCCCCTTTCCAGAAATTCTCCAGCCCCTTCCCAGTTTTCCCCAGGAATTTTCCAGCCCCTTCCCCCCCAGAGTCTGGAGTTTGCATCCTTGGAAACCCCCAGGGATGGGGATTCCAAATTTCCTTGGGAATTCCAAGGCCTGGCCACCTTTCCCATGAGGAAATTCCTGCTCCTATCCCATCTGGAACACCCTGACGTTATTCCCTCCTGTCCAGGTGTCCCCTCCTGGCAGGGAATTCCAGAGATTGGGAATGTCCCCCCTCATCCCTGGAAAAGCTGGAGCCCCTTCCCAGCTCCCTAAGGAATTTTCCAGCCCTTTTTCCCAGATTTTTGGGATTTGGGAGCGGGGGGAAAAGTCCCCCAAACCGAGCACTGCAGGGAGAGGAAAAACTGGGATCATCCCCCCTGATTTATCCCAATTCAGATCTGGGATAAATTTCCCAGATTTCCAGATCTTGGCTGATCCCAGAGGAATCTGCTCCCTCCAGGCCAAATTCCAGCCTCCCACCCCATGGAAAAGGCACCTGGAAGTCCAAAAAAAAAAAAAAAAAATTGGATTGAGGTGATCCAGGGGGATCCACAGCGAGGTGGGAAACGCCTTTAATTTGGATAAAAAGCCCCAAAAATGGGCTGGGATTCTTATCCAGGGTGGGAAAAGTCAAATCCAAGGAAAACAGGAGCTTTAAAATCAACCAAACACCCGGAAAATCACAGCTTTGGGAGCTCTGGGGTTGAATCTTTGATTTTAATGGCAGATAATTAAGAATGGAATTAAAAAGGGGAGGGCGGGGCTGCTCCATTCCCGAAGTTTTCCCAGTCTGGGATGGATGAAATCCTTTCTCCTGCCTGGAACATCCTCAGAGCCTTCCTGAAATCCCTTTTTCTGCACTCTGACCATCCCCAAACCCCTTCTCCTACACTTTAACCATCCCAAAACCTCTTTTCCCACACTTTGACCCTTCCCAAAATCCCCTTTCCCACACTTTGGCCCTTCCCAAAATTCTTTTTCCTGCACTCTGGCCCTTCCTAAAATCCTTTTTCCAGCACTCTGACCCTTGTCAAAACCCCTTTTCCCACACTTTGACCATCTTAAAATCCCTTTTCCCACATTTTGACCATCCCAAAATCCCTCTTCCCACACTTTGACCCTTCCCAAAATCCCTTTTCCCATACTTTGACCATCCCAAAAATCCCTGTTCCCATACTTTGACTATCCCAAAATCCCTTTTCCCACATTTTGACCATCCCAAAATCCCTTTCCCCACACTTTGACCCTTCCCAAATTCCCTTTTCCCTCCCTCCCAGCCTGCCCAAGCAGCGGGGTCGGGGCAGGGCCCTCACCTGAGGTGGGCGGGGGGGACAAAAAGGGACACCCAGGCCTGGCGCACCCCCCAGGCCTCCCCGCCCCGTCCCCTCCCCCGGTTCCCCCGCTCCCTCCTTTCCCCTCAATCCCGGCCCGGGCCCGTCCCGGTCCCTCATCCCCGAACCGGCCCCGAACCGGCCCCGCTCCTACCGGGCCCCGCCGCCCCGGCCGTCGCGCGCTTTGTGCGTCATCACCGCGCGCCGCCGCCACCGCCCCAATGGCGGGAGAGGGCAGGGCGCGCCGCCGCCATCTTTGTTGAGGGCACGGCCTGGCACAGCTTTGCTGTTTCTTTGCGGGAGTGGCGGAGGACGGAGCGGAAGGATCGGCGGAATGGGCGGAGATCCTCGCTCAGGGCGGCGCTGGCGGAAAAAATCCGCGGGGAATCCGCGCAATGCCCGCCGCTGGTGGCGGCTCTGCCCGGTTCAAAGATGGCGGCGCCCAGAGCGGCTCCTGAGGGGGTGGGTGGGGCTTAAGGGGGCGGTGTCACTGTCAGCTGGGTGGGCGGGGCTTAAAGGGGTGGGGCCCTTTGTCACCTGCGAGAGTCAACATTGTCAACTAGGTGTGGCCATTGTCACCTGAGTGGGTGGGGTTTAAAGGGGAGGGGCCCTTTGTCACCTGCGGGAGTCAGCATTGTCACCTGGGTGTGGCCATTGTCACCTGAGTGGGTGGGGTTTAAAGGGGAGGGGCCCTTTGTCACCTGCGGGAGTCAGCATTGTCACCTGGGTGGGCGGGGTTTAACGGGTGTGGCCATTGTCACCTGGGTGGGCGTGGCCCATCAAGGCAGGTCTTGATTCCCAAATTCCCCCTCCCCACCTGTCCATGACCTCCCCACCATTCCAGCCATGTCACCTGAGGGACAGCGGCGGTGTCCCCTCCCTGTCCCCTCCCTGTCACCCTGTCCCTGTCACCCCTCCCTGTCCCCCCAAGGACAGGCTCTGTCCAGGATCAGCAGCTCCTTTATTTGGGCCACCACCGTGTCCCCACCCTGCTGTCCCCGTGTCCCCACCCCTCTGTCCCCGTGTCCCCACCCCGCTGTCCCCTACACGTGGCTCTCGGTGACAGTGTCACCCTTGGAGGGGTCACACGGGGGTGTCCCCTCCCTGTCCGGCCTCTCCAGCAGCGCTTGGGTCACTCCGGCCTTGTCCGGGGACTCGTCCCCGGGGCTGTTGTCACCCTTGGGGACACCCGAGGGTGTGGCCTTGACGATGTCCCACCACAGCACACCCTGGGGACGGCGGCTCTGCCGGGCTGGCCCTGCCGGGAGGGGACACGGTGACAGGGAGGGACAGGGACAGGGTGACAGGACAAGGGGACAGGGAGGGACAGGGTGACAGGGACACGGTGACAGGAATAGGGTCACAGTGAGGGGTGACAGGGAGAGGTGATAGGGAAAGGTGACAGGGATGAGGTGACAGGGCCGTCACCCCGTGCTCACCTGGCAGGAGGCTGAGCAGGGCCCCTGTCCCCAAGGTCCCCAGTGTCCCCAAGGCGCCGTAGTACAGGTAGGACATGGAGTAGAACTCGCCCAGGATGGCCGGACTGGGAGGGGACAGTGGTGACGTCATAAGGGACAAAGGAAGCAGTGTGACATCATAAGGCACAGGGACAGCGAGGTGACGTCACAAGGAACGGGGACATTGGTGTGATGTCATAACAAGTGGGGACAGAGCTGTGACATCACAGCCAGCAGCGACAGGGATGTGATGTCACAAGGAATGGGGACAGCAGGGTGACGTCACAACAAACAGGGACGGGCTGCGATGTCATAAGGGACAAGGGAAGCAGTGTGACGTCATAAGGAGCAGGGACATTGTTGTGATGTCACAGCCAGCAGAGATAGGGGTGTGACATCACAGGGAATGGGGACAGAGGTGTGACATCACAGCCAGCAGGAAAAGGGATGTGATGTCACAACAAGCATGGACAGGCGTGTGACATCGCAAGGGACAGTGTGACGTCACAGCCAACAGGGACAACAATGTGCCACCCCAG